TTTAGTAGTCCTATTAAATTTTAAATTTGATTTACTTTTAGTAATACATTGTTTTTTATTTCAGGTGGATTCTGGTGATAGAGCAAACTTTGCAAAACTTGTTGAAGCTATTAAGACAAACTTCAATGATAGATATGATGAAATCCGACGTCATTGGGGTGGTGGTCTCTTAGGCAGCAAATCTGCTGCTAGAATAGCAAAGCTGGAAAAAGCTAAAGCAAAGGAACTTGCACAGAAACAGGGTTAATATCTACCTGTTTATTGAATACCATTTACTATGTACAATAATAAAATAAAAAACCGAGGTTTTTGTTGTTTTATATATATGATACAAGACCTTTTAATTTATAAAATTTGGAGAATAAAAATTATTAATACAAAATAATAAAAAATTAAATTCTTAATGAATTTTATATAAAAACAATTTTACTTTATTGAAACAAAGTAAGAGAATTATGCAATTTTAATATTTATATAGTTACAATTATATTTAATTTTGAATATGTACATTACAATATAAGTTTTACTATGAAATGTATTCATATTCTTTTTTTTATTAACTTTTCCAATCTTTTTATTCGCCCAGCTTCATGTTCTGGGCTATCTTGAATGATATGACTCCTAATGTCATGAGAAACATCTGTATTCTCAGGTTGTTTAAATTGTTCTAATAGTAAAACTTGTTCTGTTTTTTTCAGACCCTACGAATTATTAGAAATTTAATATAAATGATAAAATCTTAATTAATTTTAAATAAATTTTAATAATAGAAACATAAAGAAACATTAAATACCTTCATATCCAATATCTTTTGAAATTCTGGTGCTTGTAAATCCGGTAGACGTATTCTACATTGCTTTACAAAGTCTTTTGGAGATTCTATTGGGGACATTACAATTTTAAGAATCATTTCAGCACTTGCCATGCCTTTCACTACTACCTATTTTTTATAATAAAAGATATATTACATTAATATACAATTTTAAATGAAAATCATTAATTCAAAATATCATGAATAAAAATTAATTAGCAAATTCATTAATTATAGAAAATTACTTTAGTATATGTAGCAGGTGCTTTTCTTTGAACTTGATAACCTGTTGATGGGAGATCTAAAAGAGCAGTTTTTAACATATGTACATCTAGCAATAATTGTTCGGCACCTACGGTATTTAATGGTTTACACTTATACAATTGTTGTACTAATTTTATTATAAATGAACTGCAAAAAAAAATTTTTTTTTATTAATTTTTATAATGATATTTAATGAAACAAATTCATATTTTACTTTATTCATTACCTTGCAAATTTCACACAGAGTTGAGTAAAGTATTTTCTACATGAGGATAATCTATCTCTGATAGTAGGTATTGTTTGTCGAAGATGTGCCACAATAGTATTAACATAATTACTTTGATCACCAACAACTTCTATGGCACCCCACTGAACCTAAAAATTATGAATACAAATGAATAAAATTATTTGAAATGATTAAAAATATTAAATATAACAAATAATGAATAAATACCTTTGTCATTGCAGTTAATGCAGATTCACATGCAGATTCTAAATCTTGAACAAGTAATTGTATACAATTTGATATAACACTATATATAAACAAAAATAATTACGAATATTATTAAAAACTTAAATATCGATTATTTATAAAAAAATTTTTATAATACATACTTATGAAAAATATCTTGTTCTTGAGACAAATTAATTTTTTCTGCATAACATTTATCTGTTTTTTCTCGTAGTTTTTCTTCCAATTGTTGTGTTGTTTCTAAGCAATATTCAGCAGTTGTTAGTATACTGAAATATAAGTTTATATAATTTATTTTCTTCTAAATATCATATTAATTAAGGTGTTTTCTAATTAGCAAACCTTTACCAGCATATACGCGATTGTTCTTCTTTATTAAATCTAGTGCTTTCACCTTCCTTTAAAAAACTTTGGAAATTCTGTATAAAACCTGATGTTGAAAGATCTCGAAAATCACGTATACTACTCATACTTGTAGCAATTCCTGCACTACCCCCAATTCTGTAAAAAATGTTAATTGTGAAAAATTATAAATTAGTAGACTCATAAAAGTATGTATTCTACTTACTTAGGTAAATTATTTTGCAATATTTTAAGAGCATATTCACGTAAATATTTTTGAAAAGTTTCCGCTAAACTTAACATAATTGAACCTGTACTAAGTTGTGTACATTGTAACATACATTTTTTATAAAATACAAACAGATCTGCACATGAGGATAACACACTACTAGGACCCTCAATACCATCACAATCTTTAGCACCAGGTGGTTGTGTTTTAGAATCTGATACAAATTTATCCATTAGATCTGCCAGATTACGATCTAGACTTTCTATATAAATATTTAAATATGGTTCAAAACATCTTCCTATGAGATTTGAAAATGATGATGGTTTTGGTTTCTCATTTTGTACCTGTTTTATAATATAAAAGTTTAGATAATGAATATAAAATATTTTTATATAATATATATACATTCTCAATATAATTATACTTGTTCATTTTGTTCAAATGGATTGCCTGGAACTTTATTATCAGTCATGTCTGTAGTATTTTTTTTATTTCCTACATCCAAATTTTCTAAAGTAATACCACTAAATCTTTTTGCTAATAATGATTCAAAATTACTAGTCCTTTGAATTGCATAAAGTAAAAGTTTAACATCTATTTCAGAACGTCTCTTATGCATTAATTTTGTAAGATCTTCTCTTGTAACATGACAAAATTGCACAGCAATTCGTTCTGATATTTCCCAATCTTGAGGAAAAATTGCACCAAATTTTGATTCAAAATCAAGTAAATGTTTTTTTATCCATGCATAGCGTCGATCTATTTTATCCAGCCATGCAAAATCTTGATTTTCATCAAAGAGATGTGCATATTCTTGTAATTGAATACCTACGAACCAGGTAAGTAGATCTTTCCTTATAAAAAAAATATGAGTTATTATATTTATTTATTTAAACATCATAAATAATTAAATTTCTAATAAACATACTTGACTTTAGGATCCAAAACAGACAATACTAAACAACCTTCTGTAAGTTGATTAAAATATTTTGGATTTTGACCAGAAAATGCTTGTTTAAAATCTGCTGTAATTTGTTGAGCCAACTCAACATGTATTTGACGTACCTTTAAATTAACAAAATAATACATTAGTAAAAAACATATTTTACTGTTATAAAAATTTAAATATTACATACTTCGTCAGACAATTGTTTTACTTGAGGTATATCCATATAACTATTAAAATGTTGCATCACTTCCATCACTGCTTGTAATGGTAAAACAATTTCACCATATTGTTTCTTTTGTGTTAATACTCTATAATAAAATTAAAATAATATATAAATATATTAAATTAGATTAAATATATTTTTGTTAATAAAAATTATAATACATTACTTTAAAGTATCTACACCTTCCACAAGCATATGTAAGTGATTCAATGCTGTTATTGAGGCAGTGAGATTTCTTTTAGCAAAGTCCAATTGTTTAATATCCCTTGTTATTTCTTTGACAACTTCTTCAGATTGTTCTGCTTTATCTTTAATATCTTTGATATGCACAAATAATTGTTTTATTACTTTCTGTGCATCTTCTAATGCTGCTCTTCCATCTTGACCTACATTTGTTTGTCCACGTACTACAGAACGAATTTCTTTGTCTATATTGCGTATCTTTAATTCCATATTATTTACTACATCATCTATATTCGATAGAGACTGTTCCGTTGGGAATAGTGAATTTATATAATCTACTACATTAAAATTTGGTTGGTCCAATGGATCTGTACTAGGTAAAACCTAAGAATTAAAAGATATAAAAATTATTTATTTAATTCAAAGAGAAATTATTAAAATTATTCACACATAAAACAAAAGAAAATGAATTATAATGTTCAATAAAATAAAAAAACATTAACAACTACTTGTTAATGATGAGTGACAATTATAAATATTTTGACAGTTTGTTATAAACCTAACCTGTTCAATGACATTTTGTACATTTGGTGGAAATGTATAAATAGTTGAATTTAAATCTTCTAATTCATCATCTTCGTGCCCTTCCATTTTTGTTTATATATTAATTTCAATTATATAACTAATAAATATTTCATTCTAAATGTATTTGCGTAAACATATGACAAGAAAACATATAAAATGTTTACGTGAACACTTCAAACTTACAATATGAAAAAGAACTTTTATGCTGCACTTGTTGCGTATTTAGGTACATTTTTTTCACTGTGAGATGCAATGCATTAATTATTTTTGTCATAGAAATAAGCAATGATGACTCATCTGATATATCTTATATGCATGTTAATGAATATTAGCTATCATTGCAGATGAATGATATATTGCATGAATATAATTTATATTTAATATATTATAATTAATAATAGCAATAGAATACAAATGATATTTTTTTCTTATAATATAAAACAAAAAATAAATTCTTAATAATATAAAAAAATGAATTAATTTAAAAATTAATTACATTACTTTCTTCATCGACTTGAATTTGAAAATAATTTATTTATTGATTTATCAAAATTTATTTCATCAAAATATTATAAAATCATAATGCAATGTTTTAATCTTATTCGTAAAATAATAAAATATTAATATTATAAATATTATTAATAATTATCCTTCGAATTAAATTTTTTACTCTATAAATATAAAGCATCGAACAAAAATCTATTAAGAAAAATTTATGTTATCTAACAATAAACTTCTTCCTAAATGCAGTTTAAATCAATGCAAGTAGATTAATTAAAATTCGCCGCTCTATATCATAAAGATATCAATACGTTATTCATTTCAGTTTCTGTCACTCATTGCTTATTTCACGTTACTCATTAATAAATCCAATATCGAAGATCGCTCGATAAGCAAAAAGACAGTGAGTCTTCGCTCTATGTTTTATATTCTATGGGAGTTGGTCGAACGATCGAAAAGCTTGGTCAGTTGTAGCGCCGACTCGGTTGGAAGTTGTGTAGTTTAAAGGCACACCACTGTACAAAATAGACGCACGTTTTTTCGTATTAAGTAACGTAGAATCAGTAATAATTTTGCGTAGAAATAACGCGAGAAAATTCATACCACAATGCCGCGCCAATCAACATATTGGGGAAAATTTATATTCGTATATATTTTACATTTATTTTCATGTAAGTTGTACGCAATCGTAAACACCCACCCGGCCAGTTCATTCTGTTCTCGAATAGTGAAAATTACTGATTTTTATATCGAAATATTACATGTCATAATGATTGATGATGAAGCATAAAGAAGCATTCAAACATAGAAATTAAATTTGATTTTAATAAATTTGTCTGATCGTTTTCATTCTTAGAAACATCTTGCATAAAATGTTTTATGTTTCAGAATTTGAATGAAATTTTTTTTAACGGCTAATGTTTCATTAAAAATATGAAAAAGAAACAAATAATATAGCAAAATATATATTAATATATGTAATATTATTTAATATGTCAAACAGATTTTTTGTATTAAGTTTAAGCAATACAAATATATTATTAGAATAAGTGAAAGGATAATCAGAAAGAAGCTTATTAATGACGTTTAGTCAATTTTATTTAAAATAAACTGCTATTAGATAATTATTTATTATTAAGTGCAAGATTTGAACGAATTACAAAGTATATGAACGTGTTTATATTTTTCGCGGTTTTTTTAAAACTTCTCGCATATATTATACGTATTAAATTATATTATTTTCATTTGTGACACATATGTAGATGTAACTTAAATTTTATTACATCTTATAACTGGAAATCGCTTGATATTTATCTTCAATTATATTTCATATATCTTCTATATATCTATCTTTCAATTATATTTAGCGATACAAACAATATAAGTATGAATTAAAAATAATTTAGCATACATTCCATATCATTTTTATTCATAATGGTTATAATTCATTTTTAAATTTTTAATTTTTCTTAATATTGATAAAAATTCATTTACAATTTCTTTTTTATTTTTTTTTTTAAATTTAACAATCTTATATCATTATTGAAAAATATTATACAAATTCATTAGCATTCTTTCTCTCATTTCTCAATTTTCTCGCGTAAAATTAGAATTTTCAAAGTCGAACCTGTATAAAACGCATTTTTCGTTCCTGCCATTTATTCGTTTTTTCTTCTCTTTCGTTTCACAAAGGCGTTTCGAAAGGACCTCTCGTGCGGTGAACGTTATATTCGGAAACGCGAAGTGAAAAACCGATTTAAATTTCAAGCATACGCGACATCGACGGTGTACAAAGCAAAAAATGATTCCATTTTGACGACAGTGATTCGTTTCGCCGTTCGTCGTATATGCTGCTTTTGAAACGTCTTAAAAGCCCCAGGAATATTCTGCGCGCGTGTTAGTAACACGCGCTTCCAGTGATCGATACAGTAACACCTCCCAGCAACAGGGTACTGCCACAAGTAGTTATAGCCGACTAAAACCTCTCCATTCTTCCGTACGGTTTCATTAGACTCTTTTGGTATTTTTGACTCGTATCCCTCTTTATGCTTCTCGCTCCGTTGATGGAGTCTTGCCTATACGTATAATCGGTTTGCGGGATTTAGATCGAGTAAATGGCCGGTAATCGAATTAATGAGATGATAATTGACACGGATACGTGAACCTTATTCCTACGACGACCTAAATTTCGCGAAGGAACACAAATTAATAGACACTTCCCTTCTGGCATGCTAAATTGTATCGATCATCCGGTTATTAATTGTTGCCCGATGATACAGCTAATTGTTGCTCGACACATTAACATCGACGGTTTGCGATAACATGTAAATTTGATCATACAGGCGGTTTTCATTAATTATGGGCGAAAATTTATCGGTCGATTTCGAGATACACTGATCGTGGATACAAAATACTTTGTTAAATTTACTCTTGAAGTTTTTACAAATAGATATCGTTAAATCTTTGTTTTAATAATTTTCTTCATGACTAATGCAATATATCTGAAATGAGATGCGTGTAAAATATCAGCGTGTAATTTGTATTCATTAATTTAACTTATGATTTGGAATTAAACTTGGTATAGCCTGTTTTCGTTATGTTTAATACTTAATTCGTATCACGAATAATATTATTAATCAAGGAATTAAAATTGCTAATTTTTTATTAATTTCCACTTCTATTACACTAATTTCGAAATAATTGAAATGTTTTTTCTATAATTATATTTTTTATGACTTTTTTAAAACTTTCTTTTTTTTGGTTTTTAAAATAAATATTTTTCTATTTTTCTCTATTTCTAACTTCATTTATACTTTCGTCACATAAAGAAGTAATAATTTGAAATCACATGGGACAGAATTTGAATCGAACTAAGGTTTACTCGAATAATTTTAGTTCCGAATTTTCGATTAGAAATTAGTCGATAGTTATTAGAAATTCGTTCTTGAAAAATCTCACGATTCTACGCGTTAAAAATATAACTTTGGAATTACGAATTCGATCAATTTATTGTTATCGATCCTTCGTAATCTAACCTAACCTAATCTAACCTAACAATTTTAAATCACCTATACGATTGTATTTCCATTTTTATTTCTATCGATACTACATAAAACTTTGCCAAAAGCTTCTCACTAATTTAATTTCCTCTTTCGTTTTCTATTTTTATCCTCTTTCTCTCTTTCTTTATTATCTCGTTGCGAGGTATCTCGGGTGTTTAAATATTTCTCCATTACGATAATGACGGCGAGTTTTCATGTGACATACGCGCAACTATTAATTATAATAAATTTAATAAACATATAAAGCAATAAGATTCGTTTAATCAGTGCAGTCGTATATATCGCTTTAAAGTTTCATGTCATTGACCGAGTATTCTGAATTTCCGCAGTTTGTCGTTCCATAAATTAATTAATGATTTTGTTTTCGATGTAGTTGCGCCGTTTTGTCGTTGAATCGTAACGAGACAAGTTTTGGCGCGTTACATTTCGCCATTTCCATTATTATATCCCGCGATTGTACCTTTGACCATGCATAATGAGATAGATTTCAGATTGTTAAATTAATTCATCGTTTGCACGCGAAATTATCATTCGAAAAAAAAATTTTTTTTAATGGATGCCGTTTTCATTTATATTTTTAAATAGTCGACAATTGGAATTTTTTTATCTCGAGAAAATTTTTTTTTTTTCCTTTTTGGAAAAATATTTGGAAAGTAATCACATTTTAAGTTTATATTTCTAGCGGAATGAGCATTTCACGGACACGAGATGCAAGATGCAATATTTTCATATAATTAAAATTATACGTGTGTGGTGTGTACGAATATGTTGATCGCTTTATAAAGAAGAATTAAACAATTTTAACTTAAATGAAACGTTTTATAAATCGAATAAAATGTTCTCAACCGAGATAATGGTAAACGGATGTTTTTTTTTTTGTCAAAAGATGGAATTTTAACGGAATATTATAATAAATTATGTTAATTATTCGAGTAAAGAGAGGAATGAAATTATATTTATTCGGTTATATAGTTTGTCGTAATGATATTCACTCTATTTTATATTTTTGAATTTGAACTACGTGAAAATACAAAATATCATCAATGTTCATTATACTTGATATTCGAAGAATCTTTTCGTAACCAATTAAAAAATAAAAAAAATAGAAAAATTTGTATTATTAATTAAAATCTCATCAATTTTTTTCTTACTTTTTCATTTTTATAATAATGATAATAATTTTGCAAAATTTCTTTTAATTCCTTTTGAAATTAGAAAACTCACTAAACTCAATCATTTCTTCAATTCTTCAAAAAAATACAATAGCAATATCTTTTTTTAATTCTTTCCAAAAATTGGAAAGACGATACGAGACTTCACAAATTTTTCTCAAACGTATATTTTCCAAAATACGTTTCACACGGAATATTTTAAGCAAGAAGCGACGTCGCACGTTACCATTCCTCCGCCAACAAATTCCCTAGAAATTCCCCACGAGGACGAGAAGCCGTCGAAAAGTCGAAAACGTTCCCTCTGTTAAATAAAACATTACGTTTGACGACTTTCAGATGCAACTTCCTCTCCAATGCAGATGCAAGTTCCGGTGCATGTACGACTGATAGCACCGCGCTACGTAACGTACAACAGCACGGCCACTATGCACTGCAATCACAGCGTCCCCGACGAGTTCTTGCATAAAGTCGAGTTCATGAAGGATGACAAGAGGATATTACAATACATAAAGGACAGAAAACCGCCGTTCCACAGGGGCGATGTTGAAGGCGCAAGCATGGAGGTGAGTTGCATGCAATTAACGCAACTATCCCTCTCCTCCCCTCCACTTTTCTTCTCCACTCCCCTCTCCCTTCCTTTCAATTATGCAGTCTTTAAGCAATTGCGCAGTCATACTTGTCGTCATCCACCAACTACTCTCCGCGAACGATGATCTTGAAACCGAGAGTTTTTTTTTTTTTTTTTTTTTTTTTTTTTTTTGATGGAAACTTGTTGTTCGAGGATCGCGTAATTTTTAGACTTTTTTTTTTTTTTTTAAATTCTTTTAACGTTCTTAATTATGGTAATTAAGGTTTTATAATTTTGCAATTCTTCTTTCTTTCTTTCTTTCTTTCTTTTTTAATGGAAATGGAAGATTGCTCATCATAATTTTTTTTAAATTCTTTACGTTGGAGATAATTAACGTTTCATAATTCTTTTTCTTTCTTTTTTTTTTTTTTTTTTTTTTTAATGGAAGTGGAGGATCGTTGCTCAAGTTTAATCACGCAATTTTCAGAATTTTTTTTCGTGTAATTAATATTTCGTAATTCTGCGACTATCCGTGGTTTTTTAATGCTCCCTTTTCTTTCTTTTTCTTTTTCCTTTTTTTTTTTTTTTTTTTGATTCAGTTTTCAGGAAGATTGTTGCTCAACAATCGTGTAATTTTTAGAATTTTTTTTTTAAATTCTTTACGTTCTTACGGTTTTATAATTTTGCAATTCTTCTTTCTTTCTTTCTTTCTTTTTTGTTTTTAACGAAAGTAGAAGATTGTTGATAGTATAATTTTTTAAATTCTTTACATTCCAGACATTTAATATTTTTTGTAATTTATAAATTTTTAAATTCCAAGTTTTACAATCTCCTCCTCCTTTCTTTCTCTTCTTTTCTATCATTCTTTGTTCAATATAGCGAAAGATTGTTGCTCGAGGATCCTTTAATTTTCCAAAATTTCTTCAAATCTACGTTTCACATTCGATAATAATATTTCATATAAATTTACAACTTTATTCCTCTCCTTCTCTTTTTTTTCAATGTAGAAATTACATGTTAAAAATGAAGGATCCAAGGATCCTGTAATTTTCGTAATAATTTTATCATAATTTTTAAAAACTATCTCTTCCTTCAATCCTTTCCTTCCTTTCTTCTCACTGAGGAATATCGTCCAAAAGGTATATATGTGTAGTTCTCAGATATATATATATATTAAATTTAATTTTTAATATATATATAGATATATACTAATAAATTTAAATTCTAATTATTTTATAATATGAATAAATATTAAATGTATAAGTTAGGTTGAATAGATTAATAATCAATAAAATATAATTAATCAATTATTTATAATAATAATTTATATAAAAATTATATTATATTTTTAAAATAAATTATATATAAAAATTAAAGATAAATATTAATAATGAATTCTGAAACAATAAATGAATCTAATCTAATCTTCGAAAAGAAGATGGCCAAGACATTTCGTGGATAATTTTTCCATCCATTCGTATTTAATCCGTTTTATTTTATTTTATTATCTTCTATAAACTATATATTTTATACACCCACGTGTTTTCTATATAATCCAATTTTGTCGTTCGAAACGTTGTTAAATACATCGCGATTTACAATCCGCCCTACCACGCGTCCATTTCATTTCACGCGATATTTTAATACGTTCCCGGTATAAATTTCACTTCTCTGTTAAACGGAGATATAAAAAATTTATAATAATGTATTATTGCGTGTATGCTCCACTCGTGGTTTCATACGCGTGATATTTTAATATTTCCACGATTATATATATATATATATATATTGCCTCGTGTTTTCGTGTATTAAAAGTAAAAGTTTTTGAAAAATTTAAAAAAAAAAATCCATTACGTCATTTTTTACTTTTTAACCATCCCAATTCATTCAATTAATTTTTTTACAATCCCTTGAAATTTTATCGATATCTTGCATTTGTTCAATTGTTTAAAAATTTTCGTTTCTTTTTTTTTCGATCGAAAAACGATTTTCGTTAAACGATTGATGGTCACAACGAAACATTTATTTAAATTTTGTATATATATATATACACGATGATTTATCACGTTTCCTTTTTTATCATTCCTTATATATTCCTGTATGTGCGTGTATTAATAACGAGGAAACGGTTTTTAATGATGTCTATTCACGAACATTGTAAACACGAAAAAAACGATTCCGTGATACCTTAATAGATGATCGCGTGTCTTATTCGAATTTTCGAACTTGTGCTTTTTTCCCTTGTGCGATTGGTATTAGTGGTTTGGAAAAATTAAAAAAAAAAAAAAAAAATTCCTTTACGTAACATATTTATTTTCCATATAATTTTCGCGTAATTATACGTATTTTTATGTATTTTTAATAAATACGAGAATAAGATTTGATATAATACTTGTACGATTTAATTTTAATAATAGTTGCGGGGAATAATTATCGTTGGACGAGTAGTATAGGTCAAAGTGATAGACGCCGCGGAATCGGAGGTTAGTAGTAAAGTAAAAGAATAGGTCGAGTGATATAGGCCGTGTGTGTGACGAGGCAAGTAGAATGGGTTCGGTTAAGGCGCGGCGAGAATAACAAAATTTTTTAATGGAATTTTTCCCATTCAAAATTCTTGGCGCTGTAATTTTGTCCACGTGTTATTTATTTTTATTATTTATTTATTTATTTATATTGTGCTTTTCGGACGGTTTAATTGTCAACAACTTTTAAATTTTATAATAACGTTAATTATTAAATTGGACAAGTATGGTATATAAGTTTATTTATGATCAGACTGATACAAGATCTAGAAGATTAGATAATAAAAATAAATAGTCGTTGAAGTAATAAAAGTGTTATATTTGGACAAGTGGTATAATTGGAAATTTTTCTGACGTGTTATTTAATTATTCCATTAATATAATTTTCGTGCAATTATTATTTTTATCCTTTTCGAGTGGATAATTTAATAATTATATCAATTTTAAATTTTATAATAGTAGTATTAACCAATTATCGTTGGACAAGTAGTACAAGTCGTTTATTATCAGGCTCATACACGCCAGATAAATAAAAAAAGTAATATAGGCTAACTATGATCAGGCAAGTAATATAAGTTTCGTATATTTAGACAAGTGGTATAAGTTTATTTATGGTCAGGCTGATACAAGGTAGAAGATCGGACAAGTAGAGAGAAACAATGATGATCGGTCAGGTAGTCTTATATTCAGACAAGTGGTATAATTGGAAATTTTTCCATTCAAAATAAGTGATATTTTGTATAATTTTGTCTACGTGATATTTATTTTTATTAATGTAATTTTCGGTACATTTATTATTTTTATTCTTTTCAAGTGAAAGAAAAATATTATACAATTTAATTGTAATCTAAAGATTTTAAATTTTAACAGTATTATAATAATTACTGTTGGGTAAGTAGTATAGGTCAGACTGATACACGCCACAGAGTGAGAGTAAGTAAAAAAGAATAGTAATGGTTGGTCAAATAATATAAGTTATCTACGATTAGACAAGTAATATGAGTCTCTTATATTTGGACAAATATATATAATTGAAAATTTTTCCATTCAAAATTCACGATGCCATAATATTTTATCCACGTGGTATTTAATTATTATTTTTTATTCTTTTCGAATGGAAAAATATTGAACGATTTAATTGTAACGATTTTAAATTATCGTTTATAGTCAGGCATATGCCAGAAATTTAGATAAATGGAAAATAAAGATTATCTATAAGGGCAAGTAGTACAAGTCTCTTATATGTAGACGAATAGTGCAGGTGAAAATTTTTAAATTTCTCAAAACTCGCTGTAACTTTGTCCATATGATATTTATTTGTACGCTTTTCGAATGAAAAAAACATTGGACAATTTAATTTTAACAATTTTAAATTTTACAATAGTGGTATGGACTAATTATCGTATACGGACAAGTGATATAAATCGTTTATGATCAGACCGATTCATTGAAAAATTGAAAAATTAATTAAAATAAAATTACCTTAAGTAATGCATAGTTTCATTTAAAATGCTCCAACAATATTTATTCCGTATCTGTTATAATTGACATATATTACATATATACATTGAAACGTCCAACATTAAAGTTAATTCGATGCTTTGAATAATAAATTATCTTTAGGTAACTTTATTCTTAACTTCAATCGTTAAAATTTCGCTCACCTCTGATGCCAGACACGGTTAGAAGGTCGGATAAGTAGAATAGAACGGTAATATGTCAGGCGACGCATAGGCCAATCGCGATGCGACAAGTAGTGCAAGTCTCTTAATAATCCAACCGGTAGTATAGTTCCATTATAATCGAATCCAAATCGAAACTCTTCTTAAAAAAAATTCTTCGAAATCATTTTTCTTTCTTCCCCCCCTTTTTTTTTACCTCCACAATTTGCATATCGATATAGTCCAACCTTGATATTACCCACTCATCATTCTCCTCACTTGTTAACACCGAAATGTACGAAACCTCGATCGATAACAACGCTTAATTTACGTGGCCATCGTGGTCAATAAAGTTGAACGAACATGCATCCAGGTATCGTTAATCTGCTCTCCCGGTGCATCGGAGGGTCTGGATACCCGTCTGGTCCAAAAATAAATCACACGAGCCTCCCGCTATTTTTAATTCTCTTTAATCTGTATACACTCGCACCCCCCCCCTCCCCTCCCCACCCCTATTCGCCTCTCTGTAAACTTATCAAGTCTTAATTAATAGGTTACATACACGCATCACGTATTTCGAAAACGTCGTGTGTATCGAATCGAAACGACTCGGTCGAAAATTGACAGTCGGGCGGTGAGCGCAATCTGTTATCGAGTATACACAGTTTGATCAATCGTTTAATTTCCAATCGATCGCGGTCGATAACTTTCGCTTTAAAGCGGCGAAGCTTCGCTCCCTCGGAGGAGAGGGAGGGGAGGAATTAATTTTTTTCGAATTTTTCCTTTTTTTTTTTTTTTTTTTTTTTTTTTTT